GGCTTTACGACATTTTGTAGGAGGTTTGAGGTTGTCTGTCATCTAGATGCCGAGGTCTTTCTGTATTTCTGCTTATTGGAGTGGAATTTCGTCCAGATAGTAGGATCGCGCATCAGGGACCGGATTTCGATTTCCCAGACACAGCAGAGTGCATTTGTTCGAATTGAAGGACAGGAGCCATCTGCGTAACCAATCGTTTAATTGACAAAAGTTTTCATGAAAGTCATCTTCATCGACAGCACTCTTGATGACCTTCCATATTTTTATATCAGCTGCAGACATGGCACATTCACAGTTTAATTCCTGTACACGATCACTCACGAACAAGAGAAACAGGGTCGGTCCGTGTACTGAACCTTGAGGGACTCCGCTCTCGACGACTGTCGGCCTTGATTGTTGTCGTCCTACACACACAGTTTGGGAACGAACAGCGAGAAAATTCTCAATCCAAGTAGGAAGCTTGCCTCCGATACCCATCAGTCTTAACTTGTGCGGGAGACGTAGGTGTGGAACACTGTCAAAGGCCTTCAGGAAATCAATGTAGACCGCATATACGGTGTCTTTTGCATCAATTGCCCTTGTCCAGCTCTACATCGTGTAGAGCAAGTTTGTAACATATGACCTAACTCTACGAAAACCATATTGCGCATGGGACAAGAGATTGTGAGTTTCACGATATGTCATCAATGCCTTCTTGATTATCTTCTCCATTACCTTGCAGCACATGAAGGTCAGACTCACGGGTCTGTAGTTATTCGCAACTGCACGACGACCGCTTTTGTAAAGCGGTGTAATATGCGCTGTTTTCCAACCTGGGGAAGGATTCCAGTATCGACCGATTGCTGGTATATCATAGATAGCGGTTAAGCCAGCTCTCTAGCAAAGTTCTTCAGCAATCGTAATCGTTTCCAATTATTTTCGATCCGTCTTCATGCATGGTTCTCATTCCTTTGCTGTTGATCCAACCGCTCGTTAACCAATGTTTTCCGCTCTTTTCCTTACTCATCATCCTCCTCATCCTTACTTTTTATTGATCATACTTAGAGCCGAATTACTCCAGTCGGGGCCTGCCAAATAATTTGGGTCAGATAGAGTTCCTGTGTTACCAAACTGCGTGAACTTATGTTCATTATATGCGCTATGTCCTTCGAAGAATTTGAATTCCCAAAAGAAAGCAGTTGTGCATTTAGGACTGTCAGTGTTTTACAGGCGCAAAGTAGGCTTTCCTTATCGAAAACTTTTAGAGAGATCTCATCGTCACTGGATGAAGTTTTCCCTAGCAGCCTATACATTGGCAATGATAGTTGGATTTATAACATTGTACCAAATATTTTATCTTCCGTCGAAGTACAGTGCGTGGTATGTAGGTAAAGGCTCGTTAGCAGCTAGAACAGATAGTTTTGTCATTGAAACAGGTCCTTCTCTATCTTATTACCAACAAAACAACAAGAACATACGTGAAAGATTAGCCAAATTCCTACACAGTTCCTAATACTTTAATGACTTTCATGGTGTTATCTTGAGAAATGCTCTCCGTTTGTTTAAGTCATCCAGTGTAAGAACGGGTACATTTACGAAACCGTCGTTTGTCCGTGATGGTAGGTGCCGTGCGTGCTTTATTTGACTTTTAGGCTCACTTTTCGGTGAAAGACGTTGACGGTCATTACTATGTCCAGGCGCTCGCCAAATTTCTGAAAGAGTAAGTTATAATCTGTCAACCTCTGAAAAGTACTTGCTTTGTACATATGCACGTACTGTGCAATATCTTAGCATATGGGTAGTTTGTTGCCAGCTAAGGCGTGTTTATCAGTCGCACAGCGTCAATATAAAGGCTCAGTGGGGTGACGCATTAATTGCGTGTCTATCCGATAGATTCCAAAGCCTGGCAGTCGCCTTTCGTCGTCTCTCTAGCAGTAAACTGGAAACTACACGACACATTCGCCTACAGATCCATTTGTCAGGAGCTATTCGTATTGATGGTAGCTGGACGGCATCAGATGCTATATTTATATGCATGTACTTCGCGTTTATGTATTTTATCTTACGCCCGGTAATGCAATTAGGACCTACGTGCTTTGGTTTCTTATCCTTTATCTTTAGCGTTGTGCTGAAAGCCGACCTACAACTAATACATAACCATTTACTGTCAGCGGATTTCGTAGTCGTGTTGTAGGGTACCGTTGTTACGATAGTTCGACGGAGTTCTTGTGTTTGAGTCTCGTGTGTGATACATTTGATGCCGCCTCGAATGATCGTCTCAAGGCGAAGATAAGGAAAACTTTCCTGTTGACGCCCATTTCTCATTGGCACGACCGGCAACACCCGTAGAAGAGGTGGAAGAGACGAATGTCAAGTACGTAGTTGTTTTTATGGTGCTTAGTAAATGTGAACATACCAAAGTTGCCGTCGGAGTGTGAAGGAACACTGAGCGTTGATTTCTATTCATCGCAGCGGTTTCGCCCTTTCGACGTGTTTGCCACCGTCCAACACGATTTACTCCTTCGTTCTATTTAGAACGCAAAAGGTACCTGATATTTACACGATCAATAAAAAAAGGTTGAGTAACCGATCTCTCCGGACCTGCAGTTTCGTCAGATTTTGCGCCAGTGGTACTAAGCCGGCTCGCAGGCAGTTATGGCTGAGCGCCGCTCATGTATTTACATTAGTTGGGTGCTAGTACATGACCCAGTCTAACGCCCGATGGATCATAAAACTTCTGGAAGGCCGTGTTGTGTGGACTGTACTTCTGCATTAACGGCTTAACTCGAGGCGGTCGGAAGAGTGTTTTTAGAAATTCACATGGATATTTGCTGGCTTCAGTTATTCGCATATATTAACAAACCGTAGTACTGCTGTTCGTCCGCCGATTCTTTTAGCTGTTATGAATAAGCGTTATTACTACACAGACCGCGTTCACGCAAACAACAGAGTTAGCCATTTCTTTTCAGTACCGCAAATTTGCTCCATACATGCCTAGTTATTTTGCCCTCTTTGAAGGATTCAATGGCGCGATCTCTACTGGCGCCTTGACAGTGGTGGGTGTAACGAAGGAATTCAGTTTGAGGCCTTGCTTTGTTAGAAGCCTAAACTGTTCTGAGCCTCGACTAAACAGCGGTCATCAGCTTAAAGTATGCTGTCTACTATACTGCCACACGTTCGAGTATCCAAAGCGGAAATTAGGTTTCTAATAGTGTAGTATAGTAATGCATGCTTCTTGCACCACCGGAACAAGATTACGGAGTGTCCGTTGTCATGCACGCCGTAGCATGAATTACCCTAACGCCCAGGCTTGACAGGTAAGTTTAATTTTTTGTGCGGTCCTAAATAGCACCGCAAAGTAGTTTAACCGTTTTACTCCTTGGAACCTCTAAATATGCCTTCTTTTCCGCGATTCATTTAATAGCTGTAAGATGTTACACATACAAAGGCCGGTAAAAGCTAGTTAAGGTGTTATCTGTTGACCAGCGTCTCGCTATCATAGTATCTGCTCAGTCTTGAGTATACCAAGTAACGATATCCAGTTGCTTAGAAATTCGTACTAGACAACCATCCGATCGGAATGTTTGACACAGTAGCGGTGCTTAGCAGACGTAGGTGTCTTTTTAACTTATTGCAACTAACGGATTCTACAGTTATCCATTATCCTTTTCTCACAACTTAGGTCTGGCAAGGTAAAACAGCCCGACTGGGTTGACATCGTCAAGTTGTCAATCGCTAATGAACAGGCTCCCTACGACCCAGACTGGTTCTACGTCCGCTGTGCCGCTGTTTTGCGTCATTTGTATCTGAGGCCCGCTGGCTTGGCTGGTCTGAGCAAAGCCTTCAGCCGACGAAAGAACAACGGTGTTCGCCCTTGCCACCGTGCACGTGCCAGCACAGCCGTTCTGCGCCGGTGTCTTCACCAAGTTGAGGCCATGGGTCTCTGCAAAAAGCGAACTGACGGGTACGTATCCTTACACTGTGATGCCCATCATTTTTTTTGTTCATAGCACTAACTAATTTCTTGTATTACAAATTTAGCGGTCGC